AAATACTTACTGGACATCTGCAGTATGATCAAGATCTGCAACAGAAAATCCAATATTACTTTCATGATGACATGATTTTGATTTACACTCAAACCAAAAACCTACACTCTTAAAAATAAAGCTTCCAAAATTGGGTTTTCGTAGTAATGCCATGCATATAGAAGAATCATTTTGGGTTTGCAAAGGAAGATATTTTGAAGAACTTTTGGAACTTTGGCACCATTGACCTCCATAGTATTTTTTTTTTATGTAAGTCAATGGTGCCAAACAATTGTTTGGTTCCAATCGTTCTTCAAAATATCTTCCTTTGTGTTCAGCAGAACAAAGAAACTCATACAGGTTTGCAACAACGTGAGGGTGAGTAAATGATGACAGAATTTTCATTTTTGGGTGGAGTATCCCTTTAAGATTGAGGAGGTATTAGAACATTATATAATACTACACAAAACAACTACTTTGGGAGTATATCACAGATTATATAGACCCTTGACATTTAATGATTTATTATCTATAGATTAAATTTAATAGATTGAACTATTACGAAGACATTTGTTTGTAAAAAAAAAAAAAAAAAATCATCATTGGCTAGGCTACATGTTTGTTCAGTTTTCGTTGCGTTTACACGTTTTGGCCTGCAGGTGTCGCCGGCGCGCAGTGTTTCAGCAAAAGATCATTCTGCAAAGCAAATGCGTTTATTTTTTCCTATCACTACTTCATACACGTTTTACCATAACTAATCTTAAAATTGGGTGTATGTAGTGGATATATATTATTATATTGTAAATAATTTGCGAAAATTATTACGTAAATTGTGCTTGATGACGTAATCTTCTTGTCGAGTCAAGTCACGTGACCTAATTCATTTTCATGAACCTTCACAACCATACATTCGGAATAGTGCATTTCTGTAACGTTCCCGTCAAGTATCGTCCATACATTTACTTATATGTGACTCTCATGTATGAAATGACATTTTTTAGGACATTTAAATCACGATTAAGTACGTTTTTTTTTCTTTGTGTTCGTCACTGGATCTACATGACGCATGCGGAATAGACAGTGAATTTAATTTCACTTACACTCATATTTCCTGGTGATTGGAGGGTATTTTGACTTTGTTGCTTTTTGCGCTTCCGTGAGATCAAGTTCACGGTCATTCATTGTCCTGGTCTGAGTTATTTTATTCCTCTGTAGGGGTTATTTCCGTGAAAACATGCTAGACATGTGTGAAGAAGACAGAAACAGTGAACTATGTTATCTTATCTCACAAGAGTCAAAATAAAAGTCCCGTTAGTACTGCAACAACATCAACAAAACCTTAATACATATTTGCAACAGTTTTATAAATGTCATCACTTTTTAAACGTATAATGTTTTTATGTTACAGTGCAAGGTTATGATAATTGTTGGTAATGACACAATGGCTGCTCAAGCAAAGAGCTGTAAATCCAGTAGCGAAGCACCTCATTCAGATATAAATGGAGAATGTTTCATTCACTCACTGGAACCACTTCAGTAGATGGTAATGGAGGAGTAGACTGAGGAGTAGACTGAGGGTTAGGGGAGAACCGGGACGAAAGTAGCAAAGCGATTTTCTCTGAGACCTGACTACATTTGCATTTCAAGCTATGACAGCAGGAGTTCCTGTCGGGACGAAAGTAACACTCGTTACTTTTCTTTTGTTCCTCCTCTAATGTGATGACTTTCTGTGTGTTGCAGCATTTATTAAAACATGTTTATGTCATATTATACCAACAGAATATGGCAGATGTTAATGAGGGGGCTTTTAAAGCTTAAGTCACATTTAAATCAGCTGATTTCTGTGTCACCATTTTTTTTTCACTCAATGTGTTTCCATTTACCCTAGTCACATTTAGGTTTTAGCCATACCTTATAGCTTTAACACCTCCACCTATGAATTTGCAGGATTTCTATCCAGACACATTTTAAATGTATCCATAAAAACAGCTGGATGGAAACATGACTATTGTTACATTATGTTGAGAATTTATATTATGCTAATTTAACTTCATTTTCATATTTTTCATGTTGAAAAAAACATTTTATAAAATGGATTGACAATAAAAAAAATATTCTAAACAATTCAAGTATGTACTGTTGGGTTATTTTTGAAACATTTGATGAAACATGTAAAAAATGTAAATTAACAATTTTTTGCAAAGATAAAGGCTAAAATATGTTTGCAGTTACATGTTAACAAGGTCATACTCGGGTATATTTAGGCTAAAAAAAAAAACAAGAGTAACACAAAAAATCTAGCTTGTATATTGTTGTGTTACTTTTGACCCACCTGTGTGTTACTTTTGACCCCGTCAGCAGTCTAAGTTCAAAGTGAAATTATACTGAAGTTGTTCTACATTTTTACAAAATACCACCTGGTATTGATAGACCACACTTGTGAGTGACAGACCACAGCAAAAATATATCTCTGTCTAAACCATCATCTTTTAAAATTATGTTTTTCTGAAATATGGTACTTTCGCCCCTGCTCTCCCCTAATATTCGATATTAAATGTCCTAATGATTCATTCTCAACATTGATATTCCAGTAGGCTTGGTACTTGGTTATGTGAAGTGGTGTTATTTTTGAGGATTTGCCAGATGCAGCCATTTGTCAAGTTGCCTCCCGTCATATATGATATTTTTGTATTACTCTGAACTCATAAACTCTCATTCAGTTGTTATAGGGGGGTAACAGTTATAAGACCCAAGACCAGATATGATGAAAGAAGACCAGGAGTCGTGAGGTTCAATCAAATAGATAAAAATTTACTGAAGAATAGTTTGCAGTTTCATCAGTAGAGCGAGCGTCAAGGTCGCAAGCCAAACTCTACCTTGCACAAAATCACACACCAATTCTACAAGGGCATGTATTATATCAGTGTCACTCCTGATTGGCTAAGAGAACATAAAAACCTAAACAATTTGACACATATGAGCAGATATGGGTGCCTATCGCCATTAGTAAAGATAGTTGTCAAGATAGTCGTCGTCCGATCCTGGATTTAGGTCTGTGGTGACCTCGTCGGTTAGAGAAGGGCGCCTATGCGTCTGTGTGTTGTTCATCCCAACGTCCAGAATCTACATAGAGTGTCAAACGCACACACACAGAACACCACCAAATAGCAGCTCACATCAAGGCTGAAGATAGCCTGAGCTCATAATTATCAATCCAGTCAACCAAAACATGATGATAAAACATTCACTCCTCAGGAAGAAAGGCAGATAATGGGCAACTTGCTCCCTAGAGAAATATGCTGGAGAAAATACATTTATGACGACAGGTAGAATTATGTAGTGCTTGATCATCCGACTGTCCAGCGAAGGGCCATATATGTCCACACCACTTTTAGGATTCCTCCGTGACCTTTTCTACTGATCCCAGAGAAAGAGACAAGCGCCCTCCTAGCCTACGTGCCAGGTCCAAAGGGCAAGCTTGGAATGCACCTAAAAGAAGCTGTTAACTTACATCAACATGCATTAAGAGTATAATTTCACTAGCACAATGAATATAGAAATGATTATAATGCATATATTTGATTATTGATTTTTATAAGAGTAATATATATAACACTCAAAAGGATATATGAATATAGATATATATTGAAGAGACAAGGGATTTTGACCAACCCTTCACAGTACTAACACAGAGGCACACACTTTCGGCATCTACTGTGTTAATATGCCGCAGCATCGGATTGGAATCTTCTCCAGACTGAGATGAAGTTAAAAGATTTAGTATCTTGTGGTCAATTTAAATATTTATTAGATAATCATCAGAGTAAATTAATTGTGTGTAAATGTTTGTAACTAGATGCATTTTTATATTTTTATTTATGTAATGATATTTGTTTATGTTTGTGTGTTGTAACTTTGATGTAAACTTAGCTGCCTATCTTGGCCAGGACACTCCCGAAAAAGAGATTTTAATCTCAGCGAGTCTTTCCCGGTAAAAATAAAGGTTGTAAATCATGGCAGGAATGTGAGGAAGCAGTACATTTCCTCAGTGGAGTCACAGGGGTTGAATTTGAGATGGACACTTTCAACGTCTAATATTCGGAAGTTGCCCAGAGAGAGAAAAGTATGAGATGCGAGATGAACAAGACGCATGGGTGACAATCTTTATCTATTAAGTAATATAAAGGAAGAATCGCATGCGCAGGGTAAGATTTGTGAAAGTGTTGTGGAAGCAATTTGATATGTTCTATATATGTGTATTTTCTTATATTCATAGTAAGGTATGCACGAGGATTGCATGTGGAGTCCCATAATTCTCTGCTACATTGATGGATCAAAGAACTATTAACCCTTATCTGTGTATGTATGTGTATGACCTTGTATACGTTACTTGACAAAAAGTAATGTGTGACTGATGTATGACTGAGACAAAGGGCCTTTTACACATTAGTAGTAGGATGCAACAATGTGTTAGTTATGGGACATGTTGTTCATGATGTAAGAAAAAAAGATGTGGATGTCGAAGATCTCAAAAATGAAGTTTATTATAGCAGTGGCAAGGTACACAAAGCCTTGGGTTCACCGGCGTCAGAATGAACCCAGAACATCCAAATCTCAAACCTTTTATCCTCTTACAGTTTACCACTCTTAATGTAAATTAAGTTAATCTTGTTGTACCAGCTGTGGTCTGTATGTTAATGAAGTTGAGACACCCCATTGATAGTGATGGTCTATTGATTACCATTTGTTCAGGATGTGATCAACTCAAATGGTGAAGAAACAATATAACTTCACTTCCTTCATCTTTATGATAATAAAGCCATTTTGGGGATGAGCTCATTCTAAAATATATTTTGGAGTGGAATCTGGGTCGAGGCAGACTACAATTTCTTACAGTGATGACAGAGGGAGTCAGTCAACTATAAAGAAGAAAGGATGCCCTCCCTTCTCGGTCACACTCTGCAGCCATTCTGTATGACTGCTGGCCTTTGAATGTGATGTTCCTCCTAAAAGCAGAAGGGGGCAGTGCTGTGTAACTTTACTCATGCTGTCCAACCGTGCAATAAAGAAGAAGAAAGCATGCTCGAGAAAGTTGTAAGGACCAAAGAATGTTACAATCATTGGAACTACGATAAATATTGGCGATTTGTAAGTAAATGCCTTGTTGTTAAGATATAAAATGATTTAACAATAGGTTTCTGATTGAGTCTAACTTTTGTAAGTGGATAAACAGTGATAAACAAAACTGACAAACACATTTTAACATTCAGGGTAAAATCTCTCTCTCTCTCTCTCTCTCTCTCTCTCTCTCTCTCTCTCTCTCTCTCTCTCTCTCTCTCTATATATATATATATATATATATATATAATTGTAAAAACTCTCTCTCTCTCTCTCTCTCTCTATATATATATATATATATATATATATATATATATATATATATATATATATATATATATATATATAATTGTAAAAACTTGTTTATATATAAAAGTTTATATTTTATTTTTTTAATGTTTTTAAATAGTCTTGTGTGTGATTGTATTAAAACTACTAATATTCCATGTTGTCTCTTTGTCACTCAACAAAATCAAGCCATTTTCATGTAAATGATGCAAGAGCTATTTTTCAGAACTAAGTTTACTTTTTTTGAGCTGTTAATTTAATTCCTTTAATTGGTGATTATTAGTGAATGAATGGAAAAAGTCAACATCTTATGAATATTTTGTCTCGCGCTCAACAAAGTTTTCCTTTCCTCAGTTTACTTAAATGAGTCTGAAGTTCTCTTAGCCAAAAACTCCCTTGCTAAACAAAATTTATATTCTTGCATCTTGAAAACAAGTCTTCTGTCATTGGTTCACTGACTTCCATCTGTTGACTCTTTTCTGTTGTTAACTTAGTGCCTAATAACTTATTTCTACACTCACACATATGGTCAATAGGCTCTATGCACGATCGCTTCCGTGTTTTGTCTCAGCCCGCCCAGTTACATCCGGTGCTGCGTCGCAAGCCGTTTTTGCATTAGGTGGAGATAATGGCAAATTACACTCGCTGTTAACAAGAACTTCCAGCGGTTAACAATGATGTTAACAATATTGTGAGGCAGTTAGCTGTCACACATAAGAGTAAGAAAGAGAAGGGCATTAAATTATATATTTCGAGCTTCATCGACAACTTTGAGGGTGAGTAATCTCTCAAATCATGCGAAATTCGACTAGTGAATCAGTTTCTAAAATTGTCTCGTTTCTGAGAAAATGAATTTTTTTGGAAAGTTTGGCCGCTAGTACACTTCGCTATAGAACGCGCTATGCAGAGGTAAAGACACTGGCTGAGATTCTACTGGAAATACGTCAGCAGCGTTCGTGCATAGAGCCCATTCCTCTTATTCTCATTGAAGACTACGTTTCTTCTAATGCAACAAACTTCAAACTTTAAAAGTACACTATGCAAATTTTTTTGTTCAAAATTTTAATTAGTCAGTCTCTAAATGTGCTTTTGTCTTTCACTGATTCACTATGTTAAGCCAATTATAAGTGTTATTTTAGACCTTGGGAAAGTTTTTGCGTACATGCGTCACTCGCCCGTGCATTTTTAATTTGTAGCTTCTGTTGAAATGGTGTCTTGGTATATATGTTCGCGGTAGTCGGTACATTTTCAGCTGGAGCAGTTAAAACTAAGATCATGTAACTTAGGCCTCATCTGCAATGTATTTTTTCATCAGCACTCTAAAAAGTGATATACTTGATGGTGATTGGCAAATTTTTGGCACCTTCAGACTCCCCTTAGCACAGTTTTTACGATTCGGCACGTTTGGTGGAGGAGCAGCGGTAGTTCCAACTTCAGTATTATTTCATGATGTTAAACTGGTGAAATTACAAACAAAAAATTGAGAGAGAAAGGTTGACACGGAGCAGCTAAATCTCAAACCTTTGGAGAGTCAACTTTTTTTTAAAAACACGCAGAACAGAGGAGAGTCTGCTGGAATGCGAAAAGAGAAAGCGACAGAGATCGTAATAAAACAAGAATCAACATAGGCTTGGCTTTTTTTAGATGGCGAGAACTGAGGGATTTGAAATGTTGTAAAAGCGACGCAAGATGGCGTTTTTTTATTATACAACAGGTGAGTAATTTATTTTATTGATCAGATAAATTGCCATATGTCACTCTATAACAGAGTTCATTGTAAAGCATTATCTATTGTGAAGAGTAATTTCATTCTGTCTTTCCTTCAACATGACATCATGACTTTGCGTAAACATACACGCCACTTTCAAGTCAAGTGGCGTGTTATCTATACACATTTTGAGCTATCCGCGTGTATGTCCACGCCGAAACGAACGTCATCTTTTGCGTGTATGTATGTTTACGCGTTAAATGTCCTAATGATTCCGCGTGTATGAACACGGCATTTAATGTCCGAGCGAAACGAAGCAAAATGTAGATCTACATCTGGGGAGCTTTGTGTTGCGGAGCGGGCGTGTTACGGATACGTGGTGTACATTTTTTAGTAATCAAAAAGCATGTCTAATTAATTGAAACCATGTTTTATGAATCATTAAACTTATACAACATTTTTTTTTTTTAATCTATGAAAAAAAATGTCACACTATTTCTGTGTTGTGTTTTTTCTGGTAATAAAATTAAGACATAAAACACAAATTTTATCATTTATCATAAATTTTAATCATATGAAATTAAATAAACTTTTTGTCAAATAACGTGCTGTACAATGAGCTTTACTGTTAAAATTAAAACATGGAAGAAAAATTGATTATTCCTTAAATTTAGTTTTGATAATTTATTTGGATTAGTGTTAGTAATATTACATTGGGACATATCTAAATTCTACTGTACAACAGTAAAATATTTCTGTCAATTTAAATCAAACTTTTATTTTGACGGGTTGCCGTGAAGACGTTTTGAGTTTCTGTGTGTTTGTCATAATGATAGTTTTTCTCAAATGAAGCGGTTAAATGCTCACGAAGTCACTTTCAGAGTGGATCTAGAGCCTGGAGAGGAAGTTCATGCATTTGTGTCTTCATATAGGCAAAAAAACAGCGCAAGCGTCACACGTGCTTCAGTGTGTGTGTGTGTGTGTGTGTGTGTGGTTAATGAAACTGCGCGTCGGCTGCACCATTCATCAACACAGAACATGCAGGATTCGTATTTTAATAGTCTTTGTGGTTTAATATTCACACACACTAGTCTACATCGCTATTTGATTTCAAGTGTACTGAACTGCTTTCTATTTATTCCTCAAAAGATTTACAAATTCCGTGAAATTCCGCGTTATACAGTAAATTCCGTTTTAATGACTGGATTTCGTCAGCATTTTAGGGGGGGGGGGGCGTGTCGCCCCCCTAAAACAATGGTAGGGGAAACACTGAATTTCTTATATGTATTTTCTAATTATTTCATCTGACTCCATAAATGAAAAAATGTTCTCTTACGAGAGGTTCTCTCGTATTGCGTAAGTTTAGCTTACGCTACGGGTAAAGTTCATCTTTGCTCGAGATATTGAAGCCAAAATTATCCTTAATTTAGTATATATTGTCAACGCAGTGCAGCAGCTGCAGACCTAGAGCAGGCTATCTAGCATGCTCATTGGCTGCCTTGCGGCAACTGCAGCAGCCTACCAGTGAGCCTGGTGTGACGTCAAGCCCAATGGTGGCGCTTCGCGCCCACTACGCATCACAGCCCGCGTAAGGGGGTGTGGCTTAGCGTATAAAAGCGGGGCTCAGAGGCTGCTTCCCTGATTTTCATCTCTTCAGCGAAGCTCTTCATACCGCTGGATCCGAGAGAAGCCGCTGCCCTCGAATCCAGCGACTGCCCGCAGAGGAAAGCGCCTGAGGAAGCCGGTCGACTTCTCCCCAACTTCAGCCTTCCGTGCCAGCAACGCTATCCGGCGACAGTATCCTTTACTGCTCTTTTCACTGTATTTACTGTGTGTGTGTGTGCTCGCCGCTGCGACACACACTTTACTAAATGAGCGCGAGCGTTCTTGTAAGAATGCCTCGCACGTCCTGTGGCTCCTGCCGAGTCCCGCTCAGCATTGGAGACCGCCATGTGTTTTGCGCTCTCTGTCTGGGCCCGGACCACGCAGCCCTCGCACGTCGGGAGGCTGCGTCCATTGTGAGGAACTATCTATGTCGACCCTGCGGGCTCGTCTAGACCTCTTAACGGCAAAGCTGTCACTCCGCCATCTGCTGGACCGCGCAAGAAGAAGCGCCGTGCACAGAGACTGCCGGCCGGAGCCTGATGTGGCACTCAAACGCTCGCCGGAACGACTCCCTCGAGCATTTCTCTCTCCTTTCCCGCCCCCCCTCCCGGACGCGCAGCCGCCGGCTCCCGCCCGCGCTGCCACCGCCTCAGGGGACGAGGCGCTTGATATGGATGAGGACGCTAACACCTGTTCTAATTGCGGCTAGCTTCTCTACGTATGAGAAAGCTATCCCGCCCCCGCGCCCCAGGCGCATGCGTATCTCACCGGCGGAAAAGGGAAGAGTGTTCTAGTCCCACCGAGGCCAGACTAACCCCTATTTCTCAATATTGCAGCTATGAGCCTGTTATATAACATGCACTCCTGCAAACTAACGCTGACACAAAGCTGTGATACGCTTTCTTATCTGCTCGCGCTAACTTAAGCTTACATCGTTTCCCCTGTGGCTCACTGGCGAAACCCTAAGCTTTCGCCCTTAGAGACCCGTGTTTGAATCCCGGCTCTGGCAGCAGATAAAATTTATGCGGCTCTCCTCTCTGAGCTCGCGGACAGTTTTTCTTACGTACAAAAAGCACTGTTTAAAGCCGCGGCCGGACCGCCGTCAAACTATCTCGCCATGTCAGTCCCCCTGGAAAGGGCTACTGCAGTGGAGTATTTGTCAGCCAACGAGTCGGTAATGTTACCCGCTTGCCTGCACACAACCGCCGTTTTTACGGCAGCCCAGAGAAATCTCAGAAGAGTGTAATGTCTGATTATCCGGATCATGCCGTTGGTGTTTCAAGTGTAGAAAAAGTGCCCATGTCTCAGTGTTCACCCCTACACACAAGCACTGTACCCCCCGTGTCTCTCACGCTCGCAGAGCCCACTCTCATAAAGCTGGCAAATGCCGCTTGAGTGTTAGATGCAGGTATCGTGCCCACAACCTTGT